GTGCTCAAATACTGCGGAGTCGTGGCTCGCGTAAATAATACCCTGGCCGCTAGAATGTGAAAATGTTATAAAACAGTGTAATACTGATTGGTTTAGATACAAAAAGAAAATTTAAGTAATCGATTAAAGAACAACTACGTATCTTTATGTAGTATACAGAGTATAATGGCTGAATCCTTTCATATGATCAGGTTGAAGCACTGACTTAAATATACGGCTCATTTTGATTACTGATGTCTGCTCTTGGTTTCAACTGTATTCTAACATGAACTTTAAACTTTTTGCTACATTCAGTGAATGTTATTACATTGAGAAAGCTATGCGTCTGTCTCCACTCATTATTAAGCCGAACGGTAGAAAACGTTATGGCCGTCTGAAGCACTGGTTCTTCAGTGCAAACTTTGGAAGTGCTGAACTGGGAGTTACTAAAGTAGAAGTCTTGTCCCTTTATCCCCTGGCTCTAAAACAATATGAAACTTTAAAGAACAAAAACAACTGACTTACCGTTTCTTCTTCACTTCCCTCTTAGGCTTACGCTCATGGTCTGGATTCGCTCTAATGGCGGCATGTGCCTTTTTGTAAATTTCTTCAATCTAAAATGACTGAATTGCAATTAACGCCCGTAATTAAAGCCATACAAACATTTTCAGGTTCGATTCCTTCTTTGATGTAACGTGAGAATTGGCGCTGGTAGTGGGTCATATCGTTTTCTTTCAAAAGCTTCATGTAATTCGCAACGTGCCTGCCGAAAATACGATCTCTGTGTGCCGCCGGATCGTACTTCTTTTCTTTACCGTCATAGCCGAAAAACCTTTTATCGCTGAAAAGACAAAATACCTTTCTAATGAAAAAGACCTCGTTGGAGACAGCAACAAAAGCGATAAAAATTTTATCAGCAAACCCCATCCGCTGGACGCCTTTCAGTTAATCTAATTGTTCGCAGTAGTACATACCAGTGTTATGCATCGCTATCGCCATGGCATCAAACATAGTGATAGGAAGTTTGTAACTTAAACTGTTACAGAAATTGTTATCCAAAATTTCTGCCTAATCAATAGGCATAAAATAAGTTGAGAAACACCATCACTGTGGAGATCATGAAGTCGCACAATTTTCTTCTCATGAACTCTGTCTTTAAAATTTTAAAAACGACCCATTACGTTCCGAAAACGAACGCGACAAACCTATGAGGAATGTCAAGGCCACCGTCGACGGCACCCTTCATCGCTCCGAAGACGCGTGCTCCGGTGATCGTCCGAGCAAGACCAACGTCCAAGTGGCATCGAAAGGCACCAGGATGATCTTCCAGCGACTCAACGTTGTAATCTTCGCCGTCCACTTTTTCGACACCTTTATAGATCTGCTCCAGACCCAGCTTTTTCAGGTGCTAAAACAGAATAAATCTACAAGCTGTACAAAAGTAACCGAATAAGACGGTGCTGGTATTGTACCACAAAGCATACTACATTTATTTCAGAAATTAATTTACATATTCATGAAGTTGCATACCTCAGTCATAGTCAATAATTTTTGAAGTTCTTGGAAAATTGAGTTGATGTTACAAATAAATGAAAAATTAAAAATCCGTTCAACAACTGCACGCAACACAGTTAAATACACATAGCTGAAATTTTGTGCACTGAGTTGTCACCGAAAATTACATCAAGAAAAAACTAATAGTCTTGATATCTTTCCTGTTGATCTGGAGTATGCAGATCGTAAAAACAACCTTTTTCACTTGAATGACGGCTTCAGCATACAATAGTAAAACAACGTTAATCTCCTTAACATCTATAAAATTACAGATACGCAGAACGAATTTTGCTAAACAGATCTGCAGCTACAAACAGGTTGGCAGAATCAAGCACCTCAGTCGGCGCGCCTTTAGCAAAGGCATCAGCCTAAAAACTTAACTAGAAAAATCGCCATTCGCTCCAGCGTTTTCGTTGGCTTGCTCACTGTTCTACAGGACAACCTACACGTTATTTCAGTCAAGCCCGTACTGTTATATGGCAATCAGACTAATGTTCTAACGAACAACCAAAAACGCCTGCTGAGAGCGTACACAAGCATGGTTCCGATTAATAATGATGGCTAAAGGGCTCGACCATCTTAGGAGTAAACCCCTCTTTTGGCAACAGATATCTTCAGTAAATCAGACGCATACGAAAAAGAAGCCGACCTTACGAGACAAACTGGTCGAGTGTAAATAAGCTCATTGCTCAACACGAAGCTTAAAGGGCACAAAATACGACGGCCACCAACCAAGAAACCAACACGAATAAATACGATATATATCTACGTTCTGAAAGTAACTGTCTTCTATGCCGCAACCGCTGCTTTACTGCAGAATCGTTTAAAAAGTTACAAGGGAAAAATTGAAACCACTGGAATGCCGATCTTCCTGACACTTTCACGAGGGGGCCATTCGGACACCTTTCTAGCGAGATGGCGCGCAGATTTCCATTTCCATGCCATCAGTGTCTTGATTAAAGTAAAGTCGACAACAGCCATGTGCCAAGTATAACGCGTAATCTCTTGATTCTATCCAGAATGGTATTTTATCAACTCCAGAAGGAAGAACGGCGAGTGATTTGATCGGGGCTCGAACCCAGGACGACTCGGTTAGGAATCAGACGTTATACTGACTGTGCAATTCAGACTATCAATGAAGCGCTGCAAAGCAATGACTTGTGCAGACACCACAGAACAGGAAGCTTCTGCTAGGGCAGAAAGCTCCAGAAGTTGACCGCAACAAAAATTTCACTCGGAAGCAAACGAAGGAAGAAGAGAGATTTCAGCTCAGTCAGTGGTGAAATTTACTTAGGAGTTCTTGTGTGAAACCAGCTCGGTCTCGAACAACTCAATTATCGGACACTGGACTTCATAGAATGAAGCATCAAGGAGGAGTAATTTGACTTATTTAAAGAGGATAAGATTTTAAACAAAACCAACAATTTCTCTTAAAAACCGAAACAGCATTGTACTCACTGCGGAAGAATAAACAAATTGGTTACAAATGCGTACGTTTAATTTGCCCCATTCATTCACAAATTTTCAGAGCAAGCCAGTCCTTTCATACAGCAGCTTCATTAAAAGCTCCTTCCAATATTTCGATTTTACATTAAAAAGTACCACGGAAATCGAATAGAATGTCCCAAATTCTGACGCCAAATTTCTACTTCTTCCATGACCGCTTCTCCTTTCGGGTAGCGGAGGCAGACGCGTCAGACAACGCTTCCAACGTCCCCGATTCTCTGCCACTGTCTGAGCTTCTGCAAAAGACAACTGGAGTCTGGAACAGACTCCTTCCATATATTTGCACCAGGTTAATCTTCACCGTTCCCTCGACCTTCAGCCTGTCGGTTGCGCAAAAAAACAGTTGCTCAGCTTTTCTTTCTGGGCACATTCGCAACACGTGCCCAAACCATCACAGCTGTAACTTCTCAATCTGGAGAAACAGCGGCGGTACACCAAGGCTCTCGCGGATGTTAGTATTCCGAACCAAATCGAGACGTCAGGCCAGCGACTCGTCTCAGAAAGCCCATTTCAACCTCTTCTACACGGGATCGAAGCTTTTCAGCTATCGTCTACGACTCATCACCTTAGGTAAGCTTGAGAATAAATATCAACTTGAACACCGAGTGCTTAGTTTCCAGACTGAGCGCTGCTTTAGCCACAATGGGTCGGGCTAGTTCACGCAGAACGCCACTGGCTACTCCAATTCGCCGGTCGATCTCATCCTCCAATTTTCTATCACTAGTAAAATACAGTTCCGAGGTATTTGAACTTCTCCACCTGCTCCACTGCCTCTCCGTTAATCTGAAGAGAGCAACAAGCAGGAGAACGAAAAAGCACTAGGCTTTTCGTTTTAGATGCGTTCAGACGCATGCCGGTCACGTCGCACTCGGCTGCGAACCTTTCTAAGGAGCACTGCAGATCAGTTTCAGAAGATGCTAATGAAACAAGGTCGTCTGCAAAAAGCAACCTTCTCGGTTTCACGTCTCCTACACTGATACCATAATCCCTTGACAGCTTCTGACTATTCTATCCTTGTACAACACAAACAGGATAGGGGACAAGACGCAGAGAGCCTTGGCGGAGACCAGTGCGAACGT